AAGCAAGCTCTTGCGACGATGGGTACTGCCAACCATAGCTGAGAGTCTAGGAAAGAAGACTTACAGCCTCGTTGGTATGCCAAGTAAATTCGACCTGAAGGACCTCAAACCATTAGCTGATTCGCCTTTCGCAGACCCTTGAGGCCTCTGTTTTTCCATCTTCCCTGTACATTCATCTCGATTACGGTTCTCTGTTTTTCTTCGAAGGAGGGAGGGACCCTCCGGGAAGGTGAGTGGTACGCCACCAAGCACGCGATCATATCGCGCTCGCCATGATGACTTATTCATCATGAATAGCGCACGTCTGCGAGACACGTGAATCCACGTGAGTCACGTGACGTGACGTGACGTCCGCAGTGACGTGACGCCTTTTCCCGTCTCGCGTTCTTCCCTTCGTTCGCTCTCATTCGCTCCTTCCAGCCTTCCCCAAGGTTGTTGCGTTCTGGCAATTAACTTACTTACACTAGTGACACTCCGAAACATGCACGGCGGAACAGTCCCCTGCTGCGTACGGTGTCTTCGGTACTCATGCGTACCAATCTGACTTTGACAAACATGCTCAAGGACACCTCACGCGCTGCTATGGTTGAGGCAGGATACCTTTAGGCGTAATCTTTTTCCAGCTCTCCAGCAATCGAGACCTTGAGGGACGTCTACAGCGTTCCGCTCTTGGGAACGCCTCTGCGCTGGGGCGGCTCTCACGTGCGTGCGACTGCTTGGGTCGTCGTCACCCGAATACAATCGATCAGGCTATGTGTGTGCGTGCCCACTGCTCATTGCTTGTGCTTTGGAAGCCACACGAATCGCCCACTATTCTCTCCGTCGAGCTTATTGATTTATATGAAATTGGTATCAGATATTATCACCCTCATTTTCTAATGAATGACTCCGAACCCTCAAATGATTCTGAGTTGTCACTTGGAAGAACCAAACTTGAGCCCCCAGACGCTACAAGATCCAAAATATTGGTCAAAATGCGTTATCCTATGCTCCTTAGGCTGCTGGCTTTGGTTTGTGTATTTGACGTGTTGAAGGTCTCCCGAGGAGAAACTCTCAAGCTCGATGTGCATTACAGATATGTGGTTAAACACGGCTTTGGATTGTTCCACACTCTAGTCGATGAGAACGGTCAGGACGTAGATGTTCTTGTTGACACTAGATCGGGTTTGTTTTTTTTCGCCGAGAAGAAGTGGTTCGAGAAAGCCACCGGACTCTTCTGCCTTGCAGCGCCCCTGGGGTGCTACGAATGCTCGAAGCCTTGCTCTGTGGGTAAAGTGTCGGCAAGAGCGAGTTTCGATAGCGATTACAGTGTAAGCATTTTTCCGCACAAATCGAAATTGACGATCGGTAAAGTGTCAGAGAGCTTCACTTTCGGACTGATATTCGACCAGAAGCCCCCTGTCACTGAAGTTCCTCCGATCAATGTGATGGGTCTTGGCTTCGATAATGGCGATGAGGACTTCCCGTCTGTGATGACGCAGTTGCGATCGTCGAAAGCTATAACGACCGATATCATTGCTCTCTACTTGTACCCTCCAACTGATCCCACGGGGGAATCCATTGATGGAGGCCTACTCCTTGGTGGAAGCGACCCTGCATTATATGAGGGAGCACTGAAGTATGTCGACCTCTCTACGGACGAAGGTTACATGGTGAATATTGACAAGCTACAAGTCGGTGATGGAACTATAATTTCTGGTATCAATACGAACGTGGACCTCGACAGCGGCGCCAACTATCTATGTGTCCCAAAATTATACTATAATCGTCTTATCAAGGATATTGGAGCTCAAACTGACAAGGTTGCGGGTAAGCATGTCGTTTTCAAGTTCGATCAAGAAATCAAGACATGGACATTCCCTTGCCAATACATGAGCAAGTTGCCACCGTTGACGTTTGCCTTGGGCCCTCAGGGCTCAACCTCATTTACGATGACGTCCACAAACTATGCCGTGAGTCTCGAAGGTACCTGCTATCTTCTTATCATGGAAAACCAACGGGATGACTGGAGTTTTCACGATCGTATGTTGATCGATAGGTATTTTGAGTTCGACCCTACTCGTAAACGAGTTGGATTGGGCAAACTGAAACCGCGATCTACATGAACAAATCCCTCGTTTTGCGATCTTCTCTTTTATTTACGGTCTACTGTAGAGGAATGGTCCTCTATTGAATAACCCTGTATTGATGATAATAACACAACTTTATATAAGTTTCAAGTTTATATGATGATACCGATGATACTAGTGTTCGGAGGCTTACATCAGCATATTGTTGATCTCTGTCTTCGTATCGCTCGCCTCATTAGCTATATGGATTGTTCGATGAGAAACGTGACGTAGTCGTTCTCGTGGGTTTTTATCCATTACATTATAATACGGTATCAACAAGTATGTCTGCGTTGGATTCCTCTGAGAGTACGGATGCAAGGCGATTCATATTATCAAACTGCAGCCGAACGCCCTTCATCATCGATGGTCATTTTATGACCGCTTCGTGAGAAGATCTTCAGAGTCATTCGCCATTCTTGTAACATATTTCTACATACAACATTTAGAAAAGTGCTATTCGGCGAATTATTCGCTTCATTGGAAGATTATTATTTGGCTATTGAGCCCCATATATCCGCGGATCAGGATTTAACTCGAGCCTTTTGAGTTCATCATGAGTGCATCATATCACCGAACAAGGAACTACCCGCTAACTTCATTGATGCGCTGCAAATAGAGATTCCAATTTTAGTGGTTTTTCTCGCGAATAAAATAGCCTTCAATTTCGTTATCAGGGAAGTCGATTTCGCTGACAAAGACATCAATTTGATGTCAGTAATTTCCGGCCGCATCAGGGCACGAACTTTCTGGCTTGAGATCTGTAACTTGCGATCACGCATGAGATCATCTAAGGACACCGTCCTTGAAAAGGACTCCTTTCCTGGAGATTCGAGACCCCATCATT